TTACACACTCTTATCCTAACTTGGGGTTTGAATCTAGAATTTAATTAAGATATGACACACTTAATCAAATATCTAGAACCTAAAACTCACACTTAAGATAACCACTCTTAAGATATAGAATTAGGAATTTGGCTAAAATAGCATCACACTATTTTAATAATACTCAAAGAGTAAAAGATTTTAATATTCAAAAGGTTGTGTTACAATGGCCATAAGGCCTGAGTTATATAGGCAGGGGAATGGGGAGATAATTCACAATACATTGAATGTAAGCTTAGGGAAGCTTCCTTGCAACTATAACTCCCAATGCATGGGGTATTGGCGACTCATTCCTATCTCCTTAGTGGAATAAAATGTTGGACATGAGTTCAAACCTCCTTATTATTTTTTTGGATTATTTTTTGTTTTGATGAATGACAAACAGGATGATTAAATTCAATCGATATTCGAAAATTTATTCGGATCGAGAAAAGCAAAGAAGGGCATCAAGAAGTTTCGGCGATATTTCACGCTCACCCCTACGCAGTTTTTTGAAGTAAAGCGAAGACTCCGAAGATTTTTTATTTTTATTGTGTCTAGGAATTTTTGTAAGGATGACAATATCTTCTGCACAAAACAATTTAATTTCTGAGGGATAAAAATTATTTTTGAGTCAGTTGAAAAATCATTTTTTCTCTGTCTAAAATATTTTAGTGAGTCAGTTTCAAAATAAGTGTGTCAAAATTTCTTTAAAACATTTTTAAGATTACACAATTTTCTTTGGTGAGAAAAATATACTTTAAATATTTTTTTCGTGTATTGTTTGACACACAATAATTTTTTGGACTCTCTTTTTCTCTCCCCTACTCAAATTCATTGAATAGGGAGATATTACCACAAGAGCGTGCCTTGTTATTCTCGTTGTCCCAAACAACGAGTTAGAAGCCAAAGTGCTTCCAATCGCACTTGGCTTGGGCCCTTTGTGTTTGCGCATTATTTTTCATTTTAATCGATTATATCCTTTAAGATAATCGATTAGATCCAGCGCAATTTCTTAGGTTTGAATTCTTAATCGATTATTTCTTTTAAGAAAAATCGATTAGCTTGGACAGAACCTCCTAATCGATTTGTTGCTTCAATTTAATCGATTTATAAGCCTTTCGTTGGGCTGCTCAACCTTGATCAATAATCGATTATTTATCCTTCGTTAATCGATTAGTTCGTACCGAACCTCCTAATCGATTATTTTTCTTCATTTAATCGATTATGATTCAGTTTTCTTTTCAAGCTTTTCGCTTCTGTGTACAGTAATCGATTTAAACCTTTACTTTAATCGATTAATTTTATCTAGTGCATATTCTCAGCCTGTTTCAACGGCTTTATTTTCCTCAGCCTATTTAATCCCTCATTCCTCAGCCTATTTAAGCCAAAGTAGTCTTTGAGCTATATTCATCCTTTGCTTCATCTTCCTCATCAAAATATTATTTTTGAGAGTTAGAAATATTTTCTTTGAGTGCTAAAGAAGTTGTCATCCATAGAGCTTAAATCTTTCAAACACTACTTGCTCAATTGTGTGAGCTTTCATTCTTGTGTTGTATAACTCAATCTCTTTTGAGTGATTGTTCATAAGACTTGTGTGATTCAAGTCTTGTTGTTGTAAGATAGTGAGGCTTGTGTGATTCAAGTTCTCAAGTTGTACCGGTTTTTCAAGCACCCGTTGAAGCTTGAAGATTAGTAGGACTTTCGAGAGAGTCTCTCGGAGGACTGGACTAGCCACGAGGTGGTGAACGAGTATAAATCCCGGTGTTCTTCTTTCCCTTACTCTCTTTACTTATTCCTGCGAAATTTTTTTTACGTGAAAAACGCACATTCTTGAAAACAACTCTATTCACCCCCCCTCTAGAGTTGCACGTTTGTCTAACAATTGGTATCGGAGCAGGAAGTTCTTCAAATACGTTATTTTTTCAGGAACTAGAAGATCAAATGGCATCAAGAATGTTCAACGCAGAAGTGACCGAGGGACAATCAACCACGAGGCCACCATTGTTCGATGGAACAAACTACTCGTATTGGAAGGAGAGGATGAGAATCTTTATCTAATCCAACGACTACAAGTTGTGGTTGATTGTGAAGAACAGCTGCGGAGTCCCGATGAAGAAAGTCGGTGAAGTCAATGTTCCCAAAACCGAAGAAGAGTTCACCGACGAAGATTGCAAAAAGATGGAGCTCAACGCCAAAGCAATAAACATGATTTATTGTGGTGTTAACGCGGATGACTACCGCAAAATCTCAAGGTGTGAAACCGCAAAACAAATGTGGGAGAAATTGGAGGTCACCTACGAAGGAACCGCGCAGGTTCGGGAGGCCAAAATCGACCATCTTACTCACGAGTACGAACTCTTCTCAATGAAGGAAAACGAGAAGATTGAGGAAATGTTTGAGAGGTTCTCTAACATCATTAATCCTCTCAATCTTCTTGGGAAGACCTACACCGACCGAGAGCTCGTGAGAAAGGTGCTGCGAAGCCTATC